AGGCAAGAATCTGACACTTAGATAGACTTTTCTATTAAATCTTGTGTGTGTGTTGCACCATTGACAGTAACCACATGAATTTGACCCATGTTGTTTTTCTTATTCTACCTAAGAAAAGATTTTGCTCTGTGAGTTTGCAATTAATGGTAATATAATAGTATTCTCAGATAATTGTAAATAATGGTCACCCTATCCTCTGAGAGCTACCATGATATCTTTATTAACAAATCTGGGAAAGAAACTTTTTTTATTCTACTGTCTGCAGATAAAGGCTAAATCAACTCTTTAAATTGGAAGTATAGCCATCCTTGAACTGGACCTAACTCTCCAGCTTTATCCTGGTCTTCCACTAAGACAGAAAACCTCTATTTTCCCTTTCGAGACAGTCGAAATCTTTGTGACTCTTCAGGGCCCAGTTAAGAAATGATGACTTTTCTGAAGCTTTCCTTATCACCTCTCAAAAGATGTGAACTCCCTATTTTGATCCTCCATGGCGATTACCTCTATCTTACTTGTGGTTGGAACTGCTATATGTTTATCAGCCTCATTGCCTTTTTCTCCTGGGTATGGAGCTCATCCTCATTTCCCGGCCCAATTTAAGTTAGGAGGGGTCCACGTGACTGGGCTCTGGCCAATAGAATGTGAGCCAAAGAATATATGCCAGTTTGAAGCTTGACCCCAAAAGACTTCCCACACAAACTTCCATGCTGTTTTCTCATTCCTCATCTGCTAATGTGATTCAGACAATCCCTGTGGGTATCTGAGACTTTAGAGTATGGAAAGTCAAAGCCCCTGGGTACCAAATGTTTTAATAGAAACTGACGAACACTGGAAAATTATGAGTGCTTTAATTGTATTGATACTGAGCTTTCTAGGTTGTTTGTTACAGAAAGTTTTCCTACATTGACCAATTTATCAGTGTGTTTATTATATTTTAGTTATTTATAGTATTTGTCATGTCTTCTGTTTTCCACAGTGCCTAGGACGATATTTAGACATAGTAGAGATTCAATATGTGATTCACAATTTAAAACATCTTATGTTGAGAGCTAATGTGGAAAGTTCTAGAGTCCACATTAGATGAGAGATAGGAGCTGAGCAGAGGGCACTCAAATTCTCTAGGGAAGAAATACTGGAAGGTGAGTGCCAGGGCATTGCCAACAGCACCCTTAATTCATGACACCACCACTAGTAGCTACAGATGGGTTTTATATCATCACGGTCAGGAGTCTTCTTAAAAGAGGAAGCCTTTCCCCGGCAGGAAATGAAGAGGGTGGAGAATTTGAAGGCTTTGCCTTCCTGCCAGGTTGTAACAGAGAGGAAATCCATGTCAAAATGTGTCCCTGGAAGCATAACTCTGAAGCCTCAGGTGACCTTTGAGGTTATCTAGTGATAACCCTATTTTATGAGGAAGCTAATACTCTAAGTGGTAATTTACTTTCCCAAAGTTCCTGATGTAACACAAATCTTCTCTGTTATGGATACTTTTATTACTCTAAATTAATTAATAAAATAAGTTTTTGAAAATACCTTCTTCAAACAATGATTATTAAATGCATCCTCTCCTTCCATCCCCATTCTCTACCAAAAACCAAAATGAAACATATGTGTGACAGAAGAGTACATTTGTGTTGGAGAAGTCTGTCACTATTGTCCCAGGCTGATGCTGCTTGAATAGAGGCCATGGATACGGAAATGATTTAGTGGAATCGGTACTTTATGAAACCATATACACAAAAACAGTCAATCTGTAACACTGCTTCAATCCACAGATTCCTAGTTCTACTGCCTATTTATCCTCCCACTTCCCTCACTGAACCAACTTGCTCTTTGTCTTCATTGTTCCCTGTTCTGATGCCTTCAGACTCTAACACATCTCCTGCTTGGCCTTCCATTACCGCTTGGGCATAAAAACCTCCCACCTGTGACTCACTCTCATCCCACCCAAACTAGCATCTGCCACCTACCTCCAGATCACAGAGTAAAGGGTAGAGAAATAATACTAAGTGCTCACATTTGCTTTTGGTGCTTCTATGTTCCAAGAGCCCATTATGTTGATAATTATCTGTGCCTACGTCTGACAACACACACTGAACTCAGTCTCAGGATGGAAAACATAACAGACATGCATTCAGGATGCATTCTCCCAACAAGTGTGCACAGACTATCTAGGTGCTTCCCATACCTATTTCATCCAGTTATGCCAACAACACTTCAAAGGAGGCATTAGTATCCTCATTTACAAATCACTTGCTTAAAAACAGTTGATAAAAAGCATCACCAAGATCATACCCAGATTGGGTTAACACTAATGTCAAATTTATTAATGGAGTCTGGTGCTTATTCTTGCTGTAACGTCTTTTCTACCTCTTCTTTCCACTTTCCCACTCTAACTAATCCTCATCTCTCTTCTGTAAACATCCTTATCTGCTATCTTCTTTCATTCTCTTGGACTCAGTAGCTAAAATAAGGAATTGGGTTCTTCAGTCTGCCAGCATAATTTCTGGAACACTAATTTTCCGCTTTCTTTCTGATTCCTGTTCTGAAGTCTAGCTATAAAATTATCTATGCTGTTGTCTTTTCTCTCAGCCCAAAGGCAAAATGATTCTAATATCTGATTTACTCTTTCTTTTGAATCCTATACTCAAAAATTTAATAATGCATAAAAATGACCCTCTAGGTTTCTCACACTCGCAGTTTTTCAGATTCTTTGCCTTAAAAGAACTGCATCTCAATTCCTTTTCGCCTAGTAAATAACTTTGTCACACCCTGGAATTCATCAACACAGGGGCGATTCCAACTTAGAGATCTTGTAATTCCTACTGTCTCAAATCACATTGCATCCACCCAAACTCTATCTCCCAAAACACTATAGTTTAGCTATTTTTTTCTTAAAACTCTCCTGACTTCTAAAAGTAAAATGCCACTTCATTTTTCTCTACTTCATTTGTCAAGGGTTTGAGGACCCCGATTCTATAAATAAATTAATATTAAACACGCTGCTGGAAAATATGAAAGGAATTGGGATAAATATAGGTTTAAGGTAAATAGTTATTCCGTAAAACATTAATTAATCTGTTTATACGGTGTTAAAAGTTTCCTAGAACCGTGGAACTACTTACTGTAGTAGATGCCCATTTCTGAGTCTATAATAGCTGGACACCCCCAGGGGGCGCTCCGTCTCACAAAATATAAGTGACTGACAGGAGCGTGCCTAAAGGATGGGATCACTTTTGGGGTGTGGCTTCACAGGAGAACAGTGCACAAGAACAAGTTTGGTTTAGAAATAGGTTACAAAACCTATTGAGATTCAGAGCCTTTGAAGAATGTCTGTGAACCTAAACGTGTCCTGGGTATCCAGAGATCGCAAAGCAAGGGCTGGGAGAGGTGAGCACCATTCACTAGATGGATTGCCTTTCTCCTTGGTAGTCCTTTAGCTGACTCAGCAAAAATAGATGGGATTCGCAGAATTGCTCTTGTAGGAGTGTCCTTATGGAGGTCTGTATGTATAGCATTAGATTTAGTTGAATTCTGGACAAAGCCTGCTATATTTTCGTTTCTACTGAGCAAAAGTTGCCCAATACCTGCTACGACCAACTCATTATAAGAGCAGTGTCAGGCAATTAGCCTTTGAAAGACTCAGCCATTAGTCCTGGAAAGGAGTAATAATTACAGTTGTGATATAAGTTAGTTCCTGAAGCAGAAAGCTCACTTCCAGTTATTCTGGTGCATACAAGCTTGCATGTTCTGAGGTCCAAACAGTAGTCGTGACCCACTTATTCCCATAAAAGTGACCACAATCCCCTCAAGTGAATATCTTCCCACTTCACGCACGAAGTCTGCTTTAGTGTCACCCTCGACCTTTGTTATCAGTTGACGAAAAGCTATTGGTTTTCGCAATGTTGTGTTAGGAAAAAGAAATTACATAAGAGATCAAACATCAAATGTGAATTTAAAATTCTGCAGGTCTGGGGAGGCAGCCACATTTCGAGGGAAATGAGAAATGCGGTTCCCAGTCTGTGGAAGCCCACCGTTTCCGATGCAGAGCTGACCGCGGCGCTCCAGCTGTCCCCGGGGACCCGAGGAGCCCAGGGCCGTAGCTCCGCCCCGCTCCGCCGGCCGGTGTGGCCGCGATGCCCGCGGGCCCCCGCTCCCCGCCCAGAGGGCAGCAGGCGCGCGCGTGGCTCCGTGTGTCTGCGCGCGTGTGTGTCCGTATGTGGGAGATGAACTGGAGTCACACAACTGGGTGTTTCCTTCCGAGTGGTTCTGATCAACAATCCATTAGGGGATCATGGAAACTTTTTTCTGGATAAAAGGATGAAAACCGAGTAAGTACACAGAACTTTGAACTTGAAACGGAATGCAACAAATACAAGCAAAACCCTAACAGTAACCATGTCCATTCAACCCGTTTATTCCCTTTTATGTTAAAAGCCGTGAATGCTTACAGGAAAGTGGCAATTTAAAACTGAATGAAGGGAAGCAGTTAAGAAACATGAAAGGCTGAAAGCAGGACTGCTTTTAAAACCGGAGGAAAAATTAGGAACTGCTAAGGCAGGCTGGCTTGCATCCAGCTGCGCAACAGGCACTTTAGGTTTTAACCTACCGCGTTCTTCAATGCTGTTTTTAGTTCAGATTTACTTTGGTGTTGTCTTCTCTTTTCTGTGAGTTTAAGGATGTTGTGGAAATAAGGCATTACCGGAAGCAACAGTTTGGTACGCTCAGGTTATTAGTTACAACTGTTATTGATTTCTTTTTTTTTTAAATCAGGCCAGCCACTTTTTACTGTCATCCATGGAAGGGCTTTTATTAACCGTCTCAGACTTTTGGGACTTATGATTCTTTGGCATGATTCTTCGGAAAGTTCTTAAGCAGGATGGAGCAGTCTTGATTTAAGTTGTGAAAAAAGAAGACAGATTTGTACTTTTCATGCTGATGAAAAATAGCTGCTATGATTTTTCCGGCAACGTGGACAGGGGCCAAGTGAAGCTGAACTGGTCATGGTCTGTCATCTAGTGTTCCTTCGTCGTCGGCGATTTTGCCCCCGGCCTTTCTTGGTGGGCTTGGTGGTGGCAATCTGTCTCTTCTACCAGACCCTGACACTCCGAGGGACGAAGAAACTCTCAGCCACCGTCCCTGGGGCTGCCCCAAACACACCCACTGAAACCCAGACAAGCAGATGCAAGAAAGGATTCTCTCTGGACAAACAGTGCTTCCTTCTCTCGGATAATGCTCAGGAAATTAGAAAGGTAAGATGGTCATAAGCTTAACCTTGACATTTTCTCCAAAGAGAGCGATCTGCCTCTCTATCCTTTCTATAAAACTAAAATTAACTTCCATGAGAGCTGAAAGGGATCCAGGGTATATGCAGCCCAGAAAGTGACCTTATGACAGTGAAACACATGTTAACAACTTCAGCTTCTTATTTTACTTCCAGAAAGTCCTGGCCATTATTTTATTTCTTGGAATTTCACTTCATTACAATGGAATGAAATAGACAATTTGGAGGAAATGGGAGTGAATATTTTCTAAAATATTAGGATTCTAAGAGATCCGAAGTTCAGGCACATAAATCAAAGATTCTTAAACTTTGATAAACATTGAGCATCTCCTTCCTCAGGGCAGTCAGTGTGAGTGTCCAGACCATTCCAGACTTAAAGATACTCCAAAATTTTATTTTGTAATTGGTTAAATCAATTTTTCATTGGTGAACATATTTCTAGAGCAAATATTTATTTGCGAAGCATTTAAAAATAATAGGGTTCTTTAAAAGAATTCACACACTGAATTTTATTGTTTATGGAATTAGGAAAATGTAGATTATTCTATATTTATACCATACTAATTAACTTTACTAATCTCACTTGTCAAATGTTAGAGAAAAGACAAAGCACATAAACACACTCAGAATTTCTATTTTAATATACCACTCTGTTTTCGCTTGTCAGTGAAATGATGACATTTAAAATAGTCCAGCCTAAAAAAAAAAAAGAAACAAATTCACAATATTCATGGTAGCAAAGCCAAAGATATTTATGCTACAGTAAGAAGTCTAACAAGTAAATTTAGGAATCTATAAAGTACTCTCTTATATCTACAATAAATCCTATTATTATGGTTATTGTTTGGAGCAGAATTTCTTACTGAATGCCACCAACAGCACTGTTATCATTATTACTAACACCTCCAGCACCACTACCATTTTGTTTTAAAAACTCTTTTATGTATTTCATGTCGGACTCATAACCCAGTGAGATAAGCAAGGTCGGTATGAGTGTCATCATTTTACAGATAAGATGACTGACACTCAGATGTTTAGGTGGGCCACAGGCCAGCATTATGACACGGTACATCTATCCGATTCCTACTGCGGGACTGATGCTCTAAATAAAAGTGAATTCAAAGCTTTAATAACAATTTGTGCAATTATGACTCTAAGAACTTATTTAAAAACAAAATAATAGTAGGTTATAATAAAGAAAATTTGAAAACTTTTAGTTGAGTGACTTATTTTATCAATAATGTCAAGAAACATCTTGACCAAGAAGTATCTTATGCAGAAAATAGCAGATAACATGTATAATTAGAAACACTTCTAGATGAAACTTCAACTGCAAGTATGAATCAATTATTAAATGCTCTAAAGTAATCAAAGAATGTGTATTTACTATTCATTTATACTAGCATTAACCTCTTATTTGCATTTTTGTGGGGTTTTTTTGAGTAGATCAAATTTATGATGGGTGTAAACTGTGACTTTGAAAGTCACTTCTTGTTTCTTTCTAATATTAATAAACATATTCTTTAAAAACAGTTGAGATGACTTTGCTCTTTAAGTATCTAAAATTTTTGCTAAGAATTTTGAATAAAAAGGTTTTTATTCATTCACTTACAGTTCTTGTTCCCTACTTGACTTTATGTGATTCCTGCTTTTGTCTGTAACTTAAGCATATGTTAACTGTTATTTGTAGGCTGTCACAGAAAATTCCATTTTAGCTTTGGATCTTCTGCTACTTATAAACCATCTGAAACTTATTGCCTGCTTGTGTAAAACATTTACTCTTCACAAAAAGTGCCAAACATATGATGCTTTTTTTTTCAAATTATTCACAGTCTTATATATTTTAACCATAAGCAAGATTCTAAATTCAAATTATAGTCCAGAAGCCCAGTAGATATGAAAACTGAATTTCCAAACATTTGCCATGTGCCTCTATTTTTAACTTAACTTGTGCCAACCATTGGTTTAGAGCCAGTTTTTATTAGAGATAGAAAGGAAACTAGAAGGAAAGTGTCATGCAGAAGTTAGTTAAAATCAGTAGTAGATGATCCAAGAATTGAATAATCATCCAGTTTTGAAGATTAAATATTTTTTCAGATAGCTTAAGTGAAGGAAGAAATGTCTTCAGGGTCAAAACAGATTATTATTAAAAACAACTACTTATGAAATCATTTAAAAAATAACTGATGAGATACTACATAGATTTTCCTTAAGACCTAAAATATAACTTTCAGACATTTTATAGAAGAAGCATTTTTTCAATATATAAATTTGGGGTTTTGTTATTACTTTTATTG